ATCGGCTTGAATTCTCATTGCCGTAGTGCCTACCATGACATTAGAGGCTTAAAAACCGGAAACTTGTTCACAAAATTTTCCATTCTTTTCGCTGTTCCTGAACTCGCTAATGACGTACTTGTGGTTTCATCGATAAGTATCTCTAAAATTCTAATCCGCTTTATAGTTCAGGTTAGTTAAAACAACAAATTGGGATACCATCGTTGTGAAAAACATATACATTTCGCGGACCATAGAGTGCATAAAAAAATCCGGAGACCCGAGGAGAGAGCTCGGGTTTCCAAACAGTAATTGACTTTTTCTCTACCTCAACATACAAAGATAACTCTACACTCCATAATACTTTTAAATTTACCTCATAGCTTGCTCGCCTCTTAGTGATATCCAAGGAACTGTAACGTGTGACTTTTGCCTGTGTAGCTTTAGGATGATTTAGAGATGCTAGCGCATATGTATACATTTATTTATACATAACTTTATTAGCTGCATAAACTTAATTTGCGTTAGACAGGGATAATACTAATTAAGAGGTCGTGGCGTTAGAAAGTAATTTCACAAACTACAGATGGATAAACGCCAGCCATTTTTCAGTTTCGTGCTGATAAGACATGCACTCACCAGTTGTAGATAAGATAAGTGATCAAACCGACATAGAGGAAAACCGTCTGTCGTCATTGTTGACGACTTTCTGAGGTTGGGAAACGAGATAAAATTTAAATTACAAAGATGACAGAGGTAGCTTTCTAAGGTGTAAAAGAAGGCAACAAATCGGAGATGAATCCTTTAAGGTTTCCTTTCTTCGTCATTTCGTGTTGTTTCCGACGGAGATTTTCAATGTTTTGTATCAAACACAACTTTTTGGAGCAGCGGCATCTGTCGCTAAGGACCATCAATTCCATCTGCGGTGATGAAATCAGATAAGAATAACGAACCAATAAATGGCGCGAGTTATATTTTATTTTAATGTTCTTGATGAGGCTACTTTCTGCAACATAACGATAAAAACCTTGCAGAGTTCGTAACAAGCGTTTTAGTTTGTGTTCATTGTTTCTCTATGGACAGAAATAAAGACAGAAACATATCAAGCAAAGACAGTGAAAGCCGATAAGCTTATTTTTTTTTTCGTCTATACTTTCGACAAGATGCGCTTCGTCTGGAGTTTCTTAAAGGACACGCTGCATTCCGATCGAGATAATTTAATCTCCTGTAATCTCTTCGATTGGTCATTGATGTTTTTTTTTTTCGGTCTGTGTAAAAGTCTAATTATAACCAAGAGAGTATTGTTGTATACTTTCCCCGCAAATGGCTCGTGTTGCGATTGACCTGGGTGGCACAAAACCGGAACAGGGAAGCCATTAGCGTTCGAATTTCGAACTCTTCTTTAGTAATGGAAAATTCTGGAGGCAAAATTTCTTGCGTTGCATGTTCAGCTTAAGAAGAACTTCTCTAAATCAAGTTGGGAGAAGTGCGGTAACAGGGATCGTTGAAAATTGTTGTGAATTGGAGGACACCATTAATAATAATTTTCCAGAAAATTCAAACGCCAAGGAAGCACGTATAAGCAAACTGTGACCGAAAGGGCTGTAATGGCGGAGTTGGAAAACACGGAAAGGCGAAGAAATGTAAAAACAGAGGTAGGGTTTCAACCTGTCCCAAAAGGTATGTTATTGCATCATCACTTGTGGTCATTAAAATAAGCTGCATAATTTTGTCTGTTGCTCGAGAATATTTGTTGGTCTGATACAGGACATCACTTGTTGGACAACCACTGATGCTCTTATGTTCACTTACTTACTAACTGACTTATCCTCCTTGTGCCCTAAAGAACACTCGAGGCTATGATTTTCTTAATATCCCTTAATTCAAAGCAATCCATTTTCCCTAACAGGGTGGGTATTTCGTTTCTCATGGCATAAACGTCAAGGTCAAGATTTCAAACTCTAATTGGTTCCCAACAAGACGGCGAAAGAGGATCAAAAACCACACCCAATCGGAATATGAGGACCTCATGATTTATTGCTGCTGGTATTTTTTATCTCTGTGGAAAGGAAAGTGAAGTACATATTAATCGTGACATAATTGTAAACATTTACTTTTAGTAACCTTTTTTAAATAAAGAATGCGCACAATTTCGCCATTGGGGATAACATATGCAAAAAAATGTGTAAATATTATTCAGGAATCGCTGAATAACTCAAAAGTGTCCAATGATCTGCACCATGGCGGCCACGGGAATGATAACGACAATGTAACTGAAAAGTAGTTGACAAGTACCCTGTTCAATAAAATTGAACGTAACTGTGTTTAAGCTGTTTTTGACCTCCGTCTTCATAGGGGGTGGAAAAGCTCACAGAGAGTTGATATCTATGCATTGAACCTAGTGTGGGTATCATCTCATTACTGTTCGCCGCGAAACCGAGTCATATTGGAGGAAAAAAAGAGCAATGTCGTTTCTTGCACGCAATCGACAGTTAAGGACGTGTACTACCATCAACCGACACAATTCTGAGCTGAGAGTGCATCGCGTTTTCCATGACTAGGCACCACAGCGTAACTGAGTGTTGGACTTATTCGAGTGAAACAACAAAATCGGTGCGCCCTTGGGAAGAAATGACCTAATAATAGCAATTCGCTACGATGGACAAATTTTTGTGGTAATCGGTTGTTAATCAACAAAGAAAAACACAATGAACTACAGGTAATTTAAAAGTAGCGAAGAGAAGGTTCTCTTGAGGTAAAACAAACTGTTACACACCAAGCTCGTGAAATCTATGACAAATCTTCGTGGACCTAAATAAATTAGGTTTTATTGGTCTTAGTCATGCATGTAACACTTCTCAGTGAAAAGAAGCTTTGACTGTGTAATACTCGAGACGAAAACGTGTAAATGTGATGCTTCAAATGACAGAGGAACGTGAAGCTAGCACTGTTCAAACTCAAAACAGCATTAAAGAGATGATGCAGATGAGTCAATTTCACCCAAGAATTTCAATGGATATACGTTTTATACCTCCGAGAGATACGTTTCGCATCGAAACTTCTTTGATTAGCAATTCCTTTCTTTATCTCTTTCATCTTGATAGGAACTAAGAAATAGTAAAATGCGTGCGGAATGCTTTCCAGCGGAAATTGATGAAAAAAGCAGACCAACGGCTACTAAAGGATAAACAGGTCGTACCACAAAAACACAAGAAATGCGCCGATATTGCCTTTCCTATCATAAATTTAAAACGGCCTTTATAAAGAGAAAGATCTTGAACGGTGGTCTCAAGCTTGGGAATAGAAAGTGTGAGAGAATTCCAGACATGTGAAAACCTCAGACTTTCGCAGATTCTCTACAAGCTGAGCATTGGTGAGTTAGTTGGTATTTGTGGACCACAAACTATACTGTAGGTTGATATGAGACAGGCATCTTAAAGATTGCAAAGATTAGCAACGTCTGAGGCATATTTAAATTTACCCCAATCCTTTATTAATTTCTTCCTTTCAGGAGCGCTTTCCAGAGCCATGCACTGAGTTTGGAGTAAGGCATGAGAATCGTTGACATAAAGAGTCACCGTTTTAATTTCGTAACGTAACTTGACGGAAAGTAAATAGAATAATTCTGATTTATAACAGACTCATGGTCTGATTGATGATGTCTAACAAATAGTTAAATGTAATTCAAAAGTAAATAGCTGTGTTGATTCAGGCTTCCGAATGTACTTTCCGAAATTCCTTGTTTGTTTATATGAGTATGAAAATAAACTGTATTTTATCAGTTTCAGTATGGCTTTCTATTTCAAGTGTACTTAGAATTGCTTAAACTATTGTGTTAAAACATTTACAGCTGAAAACAAGGAAAAAGTATTGTAGTATCAAGCACCTCCTTATTCACACGTTGTTTATAATTAGTGTTCCTAGAACTAATTTAACCACGTGGAGCCTTATTTTCACACCTTGGCTACTGATTATTTCAAAGAGCTAAGCTCGAAAGTGGGATTAGTGCGGCAGTTCCACTCGAGAAGTTGCAGACTTTATTCAGGTAAAGTAAAGACACAGTAAATATGGAACTTCTCTCTTCTATCGCGTAGGAAGAGCAACTTATTGAGTAAGATCTTTTCTCAAAATGGTCACTTAACATTTTAGATTTGATTTCACTGAGTAGGATATTTACCATCACAATATTGGAACAACACTCTTAAGGACGATTAGTTTTGACTTACTCAAAACAAATTTTGATCGTGCGAGGGTAGTTTTGTGGTCGAGGAAATAGTGATGAACGGAAGTTCAGGGTTGCTTCTCTGAAACGGCTTAAAAGGAAAACTCCGGACTGAAAATGCCCTCCAAGAAAGTCTTAAAAAAGATTTTTACTTTTCTTAAGACGTTAAGTCAAACTACGTTTGCCCTAAATTACATGTATGCAACAAGACAGAATAAAAATACAAAAAAGGTGAGAATGTTTAGCTTGCGTGTTGATTTACATTACATAAAGATTCTCAGCCCCTAAAGGACTTATCCTGCTCATGTTTTTTAATTGATGTTCCCTAGGTTAAGCCCACGCTATCCTTACTTGCTGCTGAAGTCTGCGGTCAGCGATTATTACATTCCAGCCGGAAGTCGTGTCGACATCTTTGAACTCTCTAAACCAATTTTGAGGGTGTTTACCAAAACTGCTGAATAAATGAAATATTCCAGAACAATGACACAACACAATAGAACATTGAGACAGAAATTCATGCTCGCAGCCCCGGGTATTTCCTCTTGGACACGGCCGTATTTCATTGCAAAGGTACCGCAAATCAGGCGCACTCGTTTTATCTGTCAACAGGCCTTCCATATCGTCCACAGGAATACTAAGAGGTTCCTCTTTGAATGACACTCTGCTCTGTTTGCGCATTACCATTGGTTGTCAGTAGTCTCGATTCCAGGGTTTGATAGACGCATCATCAACGGGTCGGCGGGAGTATAAAACAACGTATTTCCCTGTCAGAAGCTCATTTGTATCCATTTGTAGTAATTTATCTCGCGGGTGTTAACTTTACAGCTGCCACCAGAGACCATCGGATCGGTGTTAATCGTACAAGTATTCTTAAACCAGCCTTTAAGAAGACCTGTAATCATAGCAACTGCGCAAGGAAAACCACGGATATTTTTAGAATAAGGTAAGTTACACATACTTCATTTCGTGGTCACACGCGTGGTTGAGTTTGGATGTACGACTTTGTAACATGTGTGGTGCAAATCTGATCAAAATTAACGCGAATAAAACCATTTGTTTGCTACTTTTAGGTTGACTGATATTCCAACGACAACATGCAAATAAGGTTAATCTTCGTGTTTTTACTGTTGCTGGAATTAACCAATAGTGTCTCATGTGCGAAAAAGCCCTCAGGAACAAGAAGAAATCGCAACCCATTAAGCTCGGTAAGACACTTGTTTTAGTTATTTTTTTAACTTCAGCCTGCTGCGAGTCTCTCTTAAGTTTCGTTTAATACGTAACAAACAACAGTAACACCGACTAATCAGCATGAACAAAACTTTAAAATTGGAAGAAATAAACTAAACATGAATTCTAAAAAAACAATGATAAACACGAGGAAACCATCTTGACCCCCTGTTACCACAAATAAATTTCGTATTTAACGTGTCCCAGTGATATAAGCCATATTTTCTTAATTCACAACATTCAGTATTTCTCAGATGTACATGAAAAATTGTTCTCCTGGAAAAACGTACAAGTTGCGGTCGGAAATAAAACAGTTAACAAACAAACAGTTCATTCATTAGAGGAGCTTTTAATATTATGGTGAAAGAAAGACTGTTTTTCATCAATGTAAGTTGATGAAGTACTATTCTTTGCCTGAAGAACACAACTTAAGTTAACAAGACAAATTGTTTCTGCGGTGACGTTTCCTCACGCAGATAAAGTTCTTGCTATTCTCCCATATACGAAATCATAAACAAGGGCAAAATATTTGGAGTAGGACAGAAACGTGCTCATCAAAGCAATCATCGTACGCATCGGCATTTCACAACAACCATGTGTCGATCGATAGTTGGGCTCCTCCCCACCAATTACAAATGTAATCACCGACCTAACAGAAGTCCTAATGATAATTTGTTGGGCGGGGTTTGAACAAAAACAGATGTTGTTTTATCTAAACAAGTAACAATTTCAGGTCCACAAGGCTTTAATATGTTTTTAACAAATTCTGCGGCTTCTTTTAGTAACATTATTGACTATGAACGAAAGCTGGGCGCGAGTTGTGGCGCAAAAAAATGCCATCCATAAAATAGCTCACAGATGTGCACCAAAGGGCACGTAGCAGATTTCAACACCAAAGGAATCCCGACGTTTCACCATTAAATCCAAATCACTTACTTTTTTTGTGACCGTCCCGTATCAATGCCCAAATCCACCTGAGAAATCGATGGTATCAATGCGACCTTCACCTTAAAGGGAAATACCAATATTAAATTTCTTCATTTTCCGACCTCCCGTGCCTTACCCAATTACCCATAAATTTAGCGCCTCGTTGCATTTGAGACCAGTCTATTTTGCACCGCCTTTGTGAAGAGCTCTCTGCGGGAAGATGTTGAATCTTAAATATCCTAGTGTTGTTCGCTATGTGGTCATTGTTACAGTGACTTTTCTGTTTAGTCTCCAATTCGAGATCGCTTCACCAACTGTGAGTTCGACAAGACCCTCGGTGGTACAAACCTCACCGAATAATGGTGGGAATACCAAAAAGGTATCTGACAGCCTCGAGAATTCAAACGTAAGATATTTTCTAACTATATTGTATTCTTAAAGGGTTATTTTGAGGGAGTTCTTTGCGTGGCTTAGCAGATGGATAGCAGTCGTGTTGCGTTTTCTTACGCCCTCTCACTGTTCGCCATCTTTTACCAAGCGTCTTCGGTTGGAAAAAAATAATCGACCATTCGTCTTTTCAAAGGTTTCTCTGTGGGGTGTCCTCGGACAGCGCTTGAAAGATAAAACATAGACGCGACAAGAGTGGGTGAAAGAACGTAGTACACACGTTCTTTAACTTTTGTCGACTAGCTCTCCGTGACTGATAGGAAAGTGCAGTGACTTTGTGCTTTCATTGTTTGAATCAATTTTCAAGATTAAGAGAAAATCGAGTCGGTTGCCAACATGAAGTCATTCATTTTACCAGAGGTTGCCGGCCTCGAATGATTTCGGTCCGTCGCTTCGCGAACGCTCTGCTGATTGCCTTTCGTGACCATGCATTTTTTTAAACAGTTTGTCGACAAGTTTTCATAAATCTATTTCTTCCAATCTTTCTAAGGCTTGCAAACGAAAACTCTTCAGTTTCTGCGAAGAATCATCGACTTGGGTATGTGTGTAGGGGATCTTGGGAAGTGTTAAATACTCCAGAAATTAATAAGCTCTTCCGCTGGTTTGGTTACCAAAAACGTAAGCAAGTCACAAAGTTCAATCCCTTGAAGATGCTCTCCATGAGAGGAAAAAAAAAAAAAAGAAAATCGTATTTTCCGATTAGGCCATGCACGCGAGTTGTTAAAACATGCAATTGACTTGTAAGGTCGTTGATTGATAACACAGGACCAAGTGGCTCGTTTACTCAAGCTGTTGACACTTAAAGATTTCACATCTTAGAAGGTTATCACTTGTAGCGGGTTGTCAATTAACTGTAATTATATTCAAGGCTGATAATCAAACATAATTTAGAGGATATAACCTTGCCGGGTGGGTTAATACCCGTCTGAAAATTTAATTGATAGAATTAATGCAATTACCTCATCTAATTAGTAGTTACATAGTACAACCATGAGGGTTAGAGTGCAATTATATTTTCTGACAACTGAAGTTCTGTAGAATAACATTTTTGAGGGTGTTTCTGGCATAAATTCCAAGAGTAGTTTCTTAATCAGCCGAAAGAACAGGAAAAGAAAGAATGCTTCCTCTAGCCTTTCAAATGCCAAAATATGGCAGAAAGAATCATAAAATTGATTTTTCTTCCTTTTTCCACTGCCTTTATAAGTTACACTGACGTCCGCCACATACAGTGTTCCTTGAAACAAGCTAACTGATGTAAGAGAATGTTGCATGATAACTATAATGACTCGTAATTAATTGTTTGTTAGTATGCTTGTAGTTATGAGAGTCTTAAAAAAATGGCTATTCATTGTAGCTAGAGCGGTCAATCGGACTGTGACAATTATTCACTAGAAATTATCGTTTTAGTCCATTGATAAATAAAAATCCTCTCAACTCGGATATATACTGTAAGGGGAGAATACCTTGACAAACAGCAAAGGGGTCTTGGTTTTAAATTCTATCGATGGTTTACGATCTTAAAAAGAAAAGACATGGTTTGCCTGGTTTCCAACTTTGCTGAACTGGACTGAAAAGATTTGTCACCGGGAAAACCTTCAGAAAGACCTTGAAGCAGACTTTAATATTCCCGTTTAATAGAACGATTACCCGAAATTCAATGGAACACGTTGTTTTCATAACATGGAAATAGGTTTCGTGCGTGTTTCATTACAGCAACGTTCATGTACTCAAGTTGCAACAAATTTGTGGAGGCAACCATGGTTGTTTGGGCCTCTTGGTCACCAAATGTAAATTGTGGATTTTAAATCAGCACGGATGACTCGTACTTGAAATAACTATAATATCAAGGATACAGGTAACACGATAAATCAACGTCTAAGCTTTCAAAATATTATAGGCACAACAATTCATTGAATGAAATCTTCAGTTTTCACTCCCTCAAAAGAAAATGGTCCACATCTTTCAACTACTCAACTCTGGTTTCCCTTACTGATGCGATATTGTGATTATAATTATATTATATAAAATAAATCCCTGCTCCTAGCCTAACCTTAATATCCTATTTAGAACAAAATATTTCAATCTCTACATTTTTTGCAAGACCTCTGGTCCTATTATAAATATAGGGTTAAAATGTAAGTAGCAGACATTTCTAATGTAATTTGTCAGTCACTTTGACCTGCATGAATCAGGTCTCGTCCATCAGCATATTAAGATACGAACAAAAGAACCAATGGTTGACCCTAACGAACGAGCAAAGGAAAGACTGAACTGCGAATTTAAATCAAATGGATGGATGAATGACTGAATAAAAATGTCAAAGATCAACAGAGTAAATGAATGAATGAATGAATAGGTAGATGGATGAAGAGCACATAAGAGAATGAGCGAACAAACGAGTGATTTAGTGAACACACATCCGTGCGCACTTTTAATTGATGAGCCCATAAAACGAGTGGACCTCTTAGTAGAAAATCGCAGAGAAAAACATTGAGAAAGCACAGCGATCGCCCTGCAATCATTCACAACATTTTCCAGTAAAAACAGTTAACGGTCCTGAATGTTTCAAAAACCATAATCTTTCAGATGAGTGCAATATCTGTATAGTTGTAAATACATTACCATAACTTAAATCATTGTACCATTTTTCTCAGTGCTCTTCATTCTTGAGTCTAATGAGTCTTAAACAAAAACATTCATGCGTTAATACAAGAACGAAGAACGACTATCTATAAATGGAACAGCATATTCCACACAAACCGAAAAGTGCTAAGGTTGTCTAACAGCTAATACCTGAAATCAGTATTTCTTGATAAAATTTGGAGGGAAGCGACTACTAGATGATTTAAAATGTGTAAAAAGTTGCTTTGATTGTCTTTTGCAACACATGTGGCTAAAATAGAGCGAGTTTTCGAGGTGACGGTCAATCAAAAGCCCATACAACTAACCTTAGACATACTTTTTTTAAGGGGAAAAATCTTAGCAGAGAAACAGACAAACACAACCAAAAAAAACCTGACCAAAAAAGATGTAATCGTCTTTTTGAGATCGGATCGTTATGTGTTCTGCAAGCTATTGATAATAACTAGTAGAGCCACTCTTTTCTTCAAAGTTGCAGACAGCATCTGATAATGGTTCGGATCCTGTCAATCCGGCACAGAGTTGGAACTACTTCCGAAAACGTGGTAAGGGAAACAAGGGAAAGAAAGACAAAAATGCCAAGGACAACACCAAAGTAAGGAATCTCTGTTATCATCTCACAATCGGTATGATTTATTTCAACTGTCATATCTGATACTTTAAAACAGGTTTCGTTTGTATTTAGAAGCCATGGCGTTAGAGGTTGCAAGGCAATTAGTTCCTGAGGTCTCTAAGTCACATTTCCCAGCAACACATCGATTACTTACTATTTAAAATATCTTCGCTTTGTTTTTTTTTCCTTTTTTTGTTACCTGTCAGATTGTTTGTGACCCAGGTCCCCCTGGACCTCCTGGCCCACCAGGTCCAATTGGGCCGCCAGGAGCTCAAGTGACAGAGGCTACGATGTTGGCGGAGTTTAGGAACATGGTGCAAGGTAAGAAGAGTATTAATCACTCAACTTTAGTTAAATCAAACTTTCTTCTTATTTCTTCTTATTAAAATTAAAGGAATTTCCCTTGAACTATTATCTAAGTCATTTAATATCAATTATATTAAACACCCCTTTTGGCATGCGTAGCTGATGTGATTAATCGCGCTACAATGAGGCCTATTAGGGCTTTGAGGTCAAATTCTTCAAAGGATGCTGCGACAGTTACCAATTATGAAAAAGTTCAAAGGATCAGCTTGGATCAGCATGAGTCGGCCCTGTAGGCAATCCAAAGAGAGCGAAAGAAGTTGTAGCGTTTTAGGTTTTTCCACACATTCAGTCCTTTCTTTAGGATATACTGTCTAAGTCACAAAGAAGAACTTCCAAACACATGTAATTAACACGTCCAACGAAGCTCCATTTCAAACATTAGACTATCCCCATAGAACCTCAAATATCAATATTTAGCATGTGTAATGTGTCTTTTTTTGACATTTTTTGTTATAAAGAAAGTGCAAATCGACGATCAAGGCGAATTGCAGACCAGGTATTTATAAGTTTCCTACTGGCCGAGAGCATCAATGAAAATTTCTCTTATTCAACGATCACCATAGAACTGCACGTTGATACACCCTAACGACCGCAAGTTTAGAGAGTATTTGATAGTAAAGAAGGATGCCATACACTTGCCATGAGTGTTACTCGTGAAAGTAGAAACTAGCCTATTAGCAGCTGTGTGGTTACGCACAACTGATAGCTGAACCATTTTTTTTTGTGCGAGAAAAATCAGACGAAAGGACGATTAGTTACCTTGAGGGAAAAGGCCCATCAATCTGTTACTGACAATCAATGATTAAAAAAGAACCAAGCAAAGATAACATAACTAATACACGCTTCTTCCAACAGAATATCAGTCTGATGGCTGCAGGTATTCCAGATCTGTTGTCTGCTCACCATGTTCTCCTCAGATACGCCATTAACATTCCAAAGAGGGCGCATCAGGAGGTGCAAAACTACAAACAGCCGGTAAGTTTTGTATGTCATACAAAGGTTCTACGATAACTTTTTGAGACTGTTTTTCTTTTGAATGGCGTTAATTTGAATAGTCACACACTTAAGTGACTGTGGTAACGAAGGTGATTTAGCGAAATGAATCCAAAACGCAGTGAACACATCAAACATTCTAATTTATTAAAGTGGTTGCTTTGAAATTAAACCTTGTTAAAATAAAAATTGAATACCTTATGTTGGAAGTGCATATCAGCTCTCATTTCAGTGGTACCTCACCAGCATTCATCTAACAACTCGAATTTTGACTGCTGCTGTACCAATGCAGATTGCCTTGTAAAGAATTACTTCTCACCTACTTTGAATTAACGTGGATCACAATGATTATGCTATTTTGTACACTGATTTTTCTTCGAATATAAATTATTGACCCATTATGAGTCACCTTGACTGACAGGTTAGTTGCCTAGAAATAAAAATCTGCCTAGGGATGCTTGCTAAAGGTAGACAATAAGGTACAAAAAAAAATTTAAATTTCTAATTGAAAAAAAAAACAACAACAACATGTCCGCCTGTTTTTCACTTTTACGAGAGGTGATTTAAATCTGTGAATCAAATGTGATTGGGATTCTTTCCTCCAGGGTGATCAGGCCGGTACGTTTGTGCGTGGAAGTGATGTCAACTTGCGTTCTGGTCAATACTTCATAAGGTACACAGGTGTATACCACCTTACAGCCACACTCCTAATCTCACGCGACAGGGATACAAATCTGCGCCCAAGAGACTACATAAAAATCAGCATCTGTATCAACTCACTGTGCGAATTGAACACGTAAGTAGATGCCTATGGCATACGCTCTTATCTAGGTTAATTCTCATCTTTTTATTGATTTTGATGGTAATTGTATGTTTGCCTTAAAAGAAAATCACTGGGGCGTCTTTTTTTAATCCTTTGGCTGCCAAAAACTTGAACTGTTTGGCAATAAAGACCGCAAACTCAGCAGGCACATAGGCAGAGGACGAGAGCCCCGTCCCTAACCTTATAACTCAGACCCGCTCGCCAATGCATCTGCTGTTAAGGCTGACGCATATCAAGGAAAAACGTGTCCCCTGAAAACATCACAGTCTTAAAAAGGAAACTAATCGCATCCTCAACATGGCTAAGTAATTTCAATTCCAATTCCAGAGCTTTGACAACGATAGCAGGAATGGAGAGCAACAGCCTGAAGTTTTCAGTCACAGTTAGTGGAATGCTAATGCTCAAGGTAATAATTTACTCAACTTTTGAAGGAGTTAGGGGTTCCTTATAGCCCGTTGCCAGTACGATGTTAGTATCATGACCCTGTACAGATGCAATATATTAAAAAAAGCAAAGGAGTCCCCTTAAGAATCTATGAATTTAGTAGGCTAAATACCTAAGGTGACGCTCCCCTTACACCACATACTTTAAGCAAATTGCTTTCCGACTGCATTTCAACATGTTCCTGCCAGGAGCGGTATATGGGCCCTCCGCTCACGCTGCTTCCCGTGTGACACATGTGAAAGTTAAAGTACATGTATTCCTTTTTCCTAATTTTACGTCAATAAGTAAGTCAAGGTCGCCATATTTAAATTCTCCTGACATTGGTTACATCATAAGTTAAGAGGAGATGACAGTAGAGAACATTATTAGATAGAGGACATTACATAGTGTCCACAAAGGTTAACAGTGCGACGTCTTCACTCATTAACGAATAAAATATTTGTGGTTATTTTGATCACCAGGCCGGGAGTTACGTGTCAGTTTTCGTCGAGAACAACACTAACAAGCCTCTTGTTATTTTGGAGCAGTCCTCTTTTTCCGGCCTCATGATTGGCCGATAGGATGACGTCAAAGGAAGGCGTTACAATGGTTAGGATAAACAAAAGTAAACCTGACTTAATTTACGCTCTCCATCAGTTTCAAATATTGTATACAATACAGTACATCAATTACAGAGTAACTGCATAGTTCTGGCTAGGATCCGCACCTTTTCCTTCATATAGACTGTGAACAAAGTGTAGAGTAATAATCTGGGGTAATTTTCTAACATTTCAGTGCTCATATAACGTTGTAGATATATAAAGTTTAACCAGAGAATAAGTACGTAGACATAGTGGCGAGAAATTATATTTCTGGTTTAAAACATTCCATGTCTTTGGCTGTGGCTTTCTTATAGGGGATGAGATATTGTTTGTTTGTGGTTGCATGTATCTACCTACGCCACAAATAGTTTAGGGCTTAAAGTATACCGTTGTGAAATTGAGACCTTGAAAATTATCCCCTCTTGAAACAAATTTCACAAATTTACCATCGGCTAATTGTAACTCCCTGGAATCCGGAACTGTATTCCGTCTAATTTAGCAGCCCTAGAAAATGGGGCTTAACTATAGTGTGAAATTTTTTTACTTTCTAAGCTTCCATGGGTTTTACATGGGGGGTCTTTAAGCCAAATTCTAGAGTAAATATTTCAATCCACTTTTCTTTAATTTAGTTTCCAGTAATAGTACATAGTGTTTGTAAACTAGCACCTCCTAGTACCGTACGTGATTAAATCGGCCTATCCGGCTCTATAAATGAGTTAATTAACAACATTTCCGCTGAAAATGTCCTTAGGCGCGTTTCTCGAAAATCCCGGTAACTTAACTTGTCCGAAGCCATATCTTAGAATAAAAATTTAAAGATAAGGAAGCAGGTTCTGCAAACCTTAACCAGTCCATTTTGTTTCTTTAGCAAATAGTATTATTGTATACTTTTCAAGACTTTTGAAACACCCATCTTAAATGTAAACAGAACAGTTTGACGGGCCCGTTAAGTTGCTGGGACCTTCGTGAAGTTAATTTCCTTTACTGATACCATATTTACTTTGATAGGCACCAGTACTATGCATTACCACAAGTTAGAGTATTGTAAATGATCAATTTGAATTGTTTATAGCTTGCCAGTGGAAAAAGTCTGACAAAGAAATATTGAAATTTGGTAAAATTGACTACTGTAAAATTTTTTTAGTCATAAAATGATGGAGTACAGATTTGCATAAATTCCTAATGCAGTCGACCTATAAACAGTAAACAATTGTACGTTTTAAATGATACAAATAATCACAATTTCCACTGTTGACATAATTTCAATAAAGACAGTTATTATTGGTAATAATTACTTGTGTTGAGAATTATTAAGTTGTTTTACAATGGTTGTCGAAAGAAATAGCTTGGTTTCCACTTTGCGCTCTTTAAGAAAACGAACTTTAAACGTTTGTGCTCTTTCAAAAATATCATCAAATTATAAACGATTGTTTTTGAGTCAAAGGTGTCGAAACGCTTCGTTCGGAAGGGCAGAAGAAATAGTAACAAGATGAGACAGATGTTGTATCCATGGTGGATGGCTTGGTCGTTTAATCACGAGAGAGATGTTCAGTCGATTTATCGCTCGTGTCAGACGTCGAACGATCGGTGCTTGTGACCAGACAGGACCATTTTTAATGGCACTAACTGACCTACAGGAATTCTTTTTCAATACCCCCTTCCAAGGTTCACGTTAGAGCCGACACTCCGCTATATTTGGCACAGTTCCTTTTTCGGGAGTTTTGAACAATTTTAGCAAACCAATATAGTGGAACAAAAATAGTCCCAGTAGACTCACTTGGTGCACCTCGTGAGTCCACAAATTTTGACTGCTATGAAGACGAATATAATAGCTATTCGCCTCAGGCTCAGTGAATATTGTGAAATTTTCCCCTCGACCTCGTCTCGGATTATTCGACAATATTCACTCCGCCTTCAGCAAATATTAATTGCAGCGATTTTTTGTCCCCCAAACATAATTAGCATGAGCTTCTGATAGCTCTTAAACCTTTCTCAACATTGCACCTGTTTTTCCTAATAGCCATAATTATCGGCAAAAACGAAAGCAAATTGCCTGAATTTGCTTGCTACCAAAACATTATTGCAATCGAGGCTTAATCTGATAGAAAAAACAAGAATGTACGCTTTAATAAAGCAATTATTTGAAAGAAAGAAGGAGTTTATCTTGAAATAATTTTGTTCTCGACCCCTTTGGCATTTGCTTCCATTATTCCAAATGGACACAAAAAAGGAGAAATATTCATTTGGTAACATACAACCTACCAATATAATTGGCACACATTTTGTTGTTTTATTTACATTGTCAATTTTTTTTTTAATGGGACCGAAGTAATGGCTGTAGTTTACTCGACTTTAACACGCCTTTCACGACAGAAAATCTGCAGTTAACGTTTTAAATGCAGACATAACCAGAAAACTGAACTTTTTCTTTGTTATGACATAATGACACCACCTTCAACTTATTTTTTGATGATTCTTTGTCCACTGTCAGAAAGCAAGAGGTATAAAAGAGTATAAGAGGTAAAATAAGTTGAAAAGCTGTGTCATCAGATAAAATCGTTGACTAACACACTCTGATAGTTACTACAAGCACAACTGCTCAGACTTCATTATCATAAGATATCGTGGATTTCTCTGCTGGTGAGTGGGACATTTCAAACATACGTATTTTGCTTATAGGCAAATATTATTACAAAATTTTGAGAAATTGCTTTGTCAGAAACTCTAAAAACTTTAAGGGGCGAGGAAAATAATTTTAATTGTTTTAATGTTTGATCTGCTACTCATAAACTTGTTTCAGGTCTTGATAAAAAATAAACCATTTTTTTTTTGGGCTCTTTAAGGAAGCGAATTTTGGGGCGCCATTCTCTTACTTTTCAAAAGTAATTGGTACTTTCCTGTTTGTTCTACTATATCAGCTTTACGGGTCAGTGATAAATCCTCTTACCGGCGGCAAATTGATCAGATGATCGAAAAGAGATTGCAACCAGAATATTTCCTTTACTTCAGAACCAGACAATCTATTTTTCTTTGTGAAACAATTTTAAAGGCAAGGTTTAAAAAGTTACACTTTTGAAATAGAACACAACAAATGTGTTCAACAAACAAGACAAGTTAAAAACTGTTGTAACCAGAACACAATAAACGCGAATTACGCTGTTACATCATCAGTTCATAATTCTTCAAAGTTGCTGGTTTGAAATCATAAATTGAATTCTAAACAGAACTCGTCTTAAGGTTTTGTGCTTCAGAAGCAATTACAGTGTCTGAAAATAATAAAGAACGCTTGGTCAGAAAAGGTACCAACCGATGCTCAGAATTTGCCATGTAACGCTTCTACGTTGACACAAAACACGTTCATAAATTATATGGCCGCATTAACACTTACATGTACTCATCAAGAAGCTCTCTCTTAAAAGTTACCTTTTTTAGCAGTGTAATGAGATGGAAAACTATGACAAGTTTTCCCTAACAAGTCTACTTGCCCAAAACCTGACATGTATTGGTCGTCGATAGCTTTTGAATATGAAGACCGGTCAAAAACGTAATATGGTACTATAGACAGTTGCTCACGAAGTTCTAACGAGGTTTACGAATACTTAGTATTTATAAAGTTTACCTCAATAAGTGTGACTGTCTATAGTTTTGTTGAAAAATCCTGTGTTGAAATAAACATTGCAAAATGGTCTAGAAACATCGGATCGTTCTAGTGGATTAAATAAGCCGACTTTTCTCCTTTGTCCTTTGCTCGCAATCAATTCAGCTTTTGAAGCTTCATTTGTAACTGCAGGCATGCATGTCTATGATTTATTAGAATTTGGTGGTAGATCGTTACTTTTCATTCCATGGAAAAATAGCTACTGACAATAGAGCTTTTAAGTCAGGTATTCAGTAAACAAAGTAAAAGGATCTTCGTTATGACAACTTCAAGCACATTTCGAAAACCTGAAATGGAATTTTGATTCTGTTGGCATAGTTTGAGGACAGGCGACAATATGAAAAAGTAGCCCAAAAATAATGAAAAATACAGATAAAAATAGTTATAATAGTAAAAATCGAGTAATAGGTGAGTAAATCATAGAAGTAAGGAAAATGTCATGGGGCGGTTGAGGAGTGCGTTACTTTTACAAATAGTTAGGGGGGATTTTTGTTGTGAAAAAGGCGCAATGAATTCGATAGTGAACATCTAACTCTACTAGGGCATGACCCATTTTCAGTGCCAGGATTGGAATTAGCGTAACATTTGCTCTTCAGAGTGTCGCAGATTTACCGGCGCAGCGACATATCATGTTTCCATTGAAATATGATGGGATCTCCACAAACCTAAAGCACGGCCCAGCCAGCGACTTTTAGCAAACACTTCCTGGAATCTCCGATTTATCTTTTCCGTTCTTTTGTTTCTTTGTTTGTTTTATATAGGAAAAACCCAAATGGTGACCTTGGTACTTTTGGGGAATTTTATTGGTACAAATTTCAACAGCTCAGGACGGAACTCAAATTAAACCAGGATGAGCAAGCTTTGACGACTTCTATAAGGATGAGTAGCACAGTCACATAGCCATTTGCTGTAACATAGTTCAAAAATAACTATTTTTTTATTTTTTCACTTTTTATCACTTTTTGACTTTAATTTTGATCAAAATGTACATTGTAATCAATATCTGTAAATATTTTTATTATTTTGCATTAATAACACTAATTTTGGTATTACCCACAATCCCTTGTGGGCGTGGCACATTTTTGGTTTTTCATAAAATCTTAAGAAAATCAATGTAAAAATGGAAAAAAAGAGGTTTTGTAATCATTAGTTCACATTGAAGCAATGATTTCCTCATTTTCTTTTAAAGGGAGTTTGTAAATAGACTTTCGTCCTCTCTTTCTGACTGGTAGGTCACCGCAAATGTGACGGACAGTAGCAGCATGTACAAACGCTTTCCGTTTTTCGTCAATTGTGAAGGTCATGTCATGAATGTTCTCCCTTATGTAAAAGTGCCCCTTAAGAACTCTGTCTCCTCTGTAATAATGACACTGATAGTCATCTGTAACATTACTGTCAAGTTCTTCAACTCCATCAGAAGTGACCTGAAGGAGATAGAAGTCGTAGACAGGATCATCTTCAGCGGCTATCGCAACTGTACTTCCCTTGCTGGCCAGGTCAGCTATGTAGGAAGCAGTATCATGGTCTAAAATTGGTGCTTCAGTTGCCTGTCGAGTGGTTGCCACATCACCCTCTCTGGTTAGCTCCACCAGCTTCCATTCATCAAGCCATGCCTTGTTAGTGCAATTCTCCTCATCATTCACAATGCAACTGATGCAGTAACATGAGCGGTGTCGCACAAACACCTTTCCCTGCTGAGGGGTGGTTTTCACGCAATGCAGTTTTCTGATTCCTTTTAATTCTGTGAATTTGCGTCCAGCTCTATTCCTGACAACAGATCCCTCCCCAGAAGATGGTACAAAATGGAAGATCCTGCGCTTAAGCTGAACTGACTTTGTTCTTGCTGAGAAGCTTGATGGTGCTGGCTGGGAAAAGTGCTGGACTAAGAAGTCGTGCATGCTTCGAGCACTGGTGATGGTAGCTGTTCTTCTGAGGACAGCTTGGCTGACTTTTTGCTTAACGTGAGAACCTGCAGCATCCTGTTCTCCCTTGGCATGTGAGGTCTCGAAGTAGTTTCTCTGGATGGGAAAGCCGAAGTCAGCGAGTGAACATGAAAGATCACCAATGCAGTGCCGGGATTTGTACTGAGCAGCACATCCATCAGTGAACTCGTGCATCATCTGAGTGTTGTAGCCCAAATCATTGGTCAAGTAGTTTTGAATGAACTCTTGCATCTCGTGAACACTGTCATAATCTTGGACAGGGTCATCAGATATGACAAATATGTGTTCCTTCACAAGATGAGGGTCTTCTTCAGTACTTGCTACTCCATCCACTTCTTCTACTGCATGACGATGAAGTATGGTAACATGTAAGGACACTTTGGCAACATCAAAGTATTCTGACTGGATTTCATCCTGCTGCCGACAAGTGTAGCCTTCGGAATAGTCATGCACACACACCACATGGCCTGCAGGAAGGTTGTCAAGTAAGTTGTCAAGTTGCTCCCGTTGCCATTTTGCCATGAAAGAGTGACTGGCGTAGGCTGCAAGGAGCTCCCTGAAATACTCGTAAAGCTCTGATGGGGGTGTTTCTTTCTGGATGAGTGCAATTTTCTTTTTTTCTTGACCATTGGCAAGAAACTTTCCAGTGGGAATGTAGTCATAGCGTGACCATCTCACAGATCCCTCATCTGAAGTTTCAGCAGGAAGAAGCTTGAACAAAGCTACACCACATTGGTCGCATTCTCTTTGTAGGCACTTGATGTTGTGGAATGAAGCACCTTCTGGTTTAGGGCACAAGGTTGACTCCACCGCCTCAGACAATGTTGTTGGTACTTGAACTGACGGGTCTTCCCCAACAGAGTTTTTCATGGATGCTTTTCTAAACTTCATGCATGTAGAGAAAACAATCTGTGTTTCCACATGTTTTCTGCACAAGCATGACTTTCTGTCTCTTTCCCTTGCCTGCTTGACAAAAAAAGGTTTCAAGCTTTCAAATTTTCTTTGTTTTACCTTAATTTCAGAATGAAGGTTGCTGAATTCAATAAACGCCTCGGTTTGTGTCTTTTCAAGCACATGCTTTGCATGGTGAATGTACTCATTCTTTCCAATTCTTTTCTTTGAAAAATCCTTTTTGTCTCCTGTGGGCCGGCTTGCTGTGTTTGTCCAGTAATCATAGATCACTTTGCTCTCTTCGTCTGTAAGGGCGTCTCCTCTAACTTTTCGTTTTGTGTACAGCCAGTTTTCCGCTTCCCCTTTCAAAATTTTTTCCCGGTGCTGGATGGCTCTGCTGATGCTCTTTTCACCAAGGTTAACAAGTTTTCCAACAGATTTTTTTGCCTTTGCTTTTTTAATTTTTTCTCCAAAAGCAAGAGATTTAAACGCTTTGAACACGGCCCGTTTTTCATTTGATCCTGAATGCTTAACCTGGTTCAATCCTTCAGAAATATCGGAAGCGAGTGCCCTTAAAGTTTCGGTTTCTTTTTCTTCTTCAGGAGTCTTTAGCAGACCACTTTCACCTAAAATCTTTCTTGTCCGTGGGCTTTTGACAATGCTTTGGACAATTTCCGCCTTCTTTCGGGGTGTGGAAGGGAGTGTCTTCTTAACTTTATCTATAGCACGTTTTTTCGACGTCCGGTTTGCGAAACCTGGTGAATCCACGCTATTATTAAATTCTTGTGCTTCTGTTCGCTTCTTTTCACGGTATTTTCTAACTCTTTCTCTTGTTTGCTGCCTTGTCTTTTCTCTTTTTTCTTGTGCTGCGATACGGGAAGCTTTTCTGTGCTCCGTTGCTTTTTGTTGGCGTTTGTTTTTTTCGGCAATGCTTCGTGTGTGCGGCCGAATTGATTTCTCGGCTTGCAATTTCTTTCGCTGTTCTTTAACTTGAGCAATCTTTTTTGCCTTGTTTTGTTGATAATAGGCCTTCATCCTTTCTCTTTTTGCCGCTGCTTTTCTTTCTTGCGCCGCCTTCTTTCGCGAAATACCTGAATTTAGATTGGACTCTTTTGTTTCCATCTGCTGCGGTTGAATTCCCTCAGTGTTGAAAATCGCGCCAAACATTTCACTGTTATGCAATAATCTGCCCCTGCAAACTCTGTATGGACTCCCATGTTATTGTCTGTGTAAACAAACCATGTGCTTTTAAAGAGAAGCTGCGAAGGAGCGGATTTCGTGAAAGTTTTGGTGGTGTTTTTCGCCATATTCCTTCGTCACTTACCTTCGTTACGGTTCATGAACACGGAAGCAATGGCGGAAATTGTTTCTGCGTCGACCAAACGTAAATTTCTAGCGTTAGATCTAACGAAATGGGTTGAAACGTTCTGTAAATTTAGCTTAATACAAGCCCATTCCAGGAGAGGTGAGCTTGTTTACTCAACTTAACAAGAATCCCGTCTGACAACGGATCTACTGGTGGATATGTGATGGAATTAAGCTCAATATGGCCGTTACGAAATGTGTTTCTGCGCGTTTTATTTTGATCTGGAAAACATTCTACTTGACGATTCAACTTCAGCGTTGGTTTGTAAATATTATGATGTATGCCCATTACATTTTTGTTATTAGTTTGTTGCTTACACAGTCGAAATTATCATTATTGCTAGTTTTGCACACTATGGTTGTTTTAATAGTTGCGAGCGTTACATTGTTCAGTGATAAAAACAGACGTTTATAACTTGCGTTAGAATAAACCATTCCTGTTGCAAATCATACTGCCTGTTGCTTTTGTCATAAACTACTAACGGCCAAAAAATAGTGGCCCCATGTGCGTTCTATATTGAGATATTTCATTTTTTTTCTTCCGTCTGATACATTTCATGTTACGCGTTACACCCAGAAATTCACGCATTTTCAGGAAATATTTATTTTTTACAATTTTCACTTTGTCGCAAACCTTGTTTTCTTTACACCAAAATGAAGTAGGATAACTAAGCTTATATTGTGGAAAGTGTGAGATTTAGAGGTTAAACCTTCCCGAAGATATTCGTTAGCAAAGGCACTTGAGTCCAAAATGGCGGCGTGACTGTGCTACTCATCAAGGACTTCGATGAACTCGCACAAGTACCCTCATGAATGCCGTCCTCAGAGATCTCGGCGATAGGTCGAAACAATTCAAGCAATTCAACCCAATGCGCGGCCTGAATTTTGATCTGTGGCTTCTTCATCCAATGCTTCGAGCTTGTCTACTGTCTCTAAGCAAAGACTTAAAAAGCAACGACGCGAAGGATAGGTTAGCAGCTGGACTTAGGGAAAGGCTAAACAATTCACTGATATTTTTGATGAAAGAAAAAGCAGATTACTCACAGGAGAGATCAAAGAGGCGTGTAAAAAGAAGCAAGGTGATAAAACATTTTGCTCGTCTTCGTCTGAACTTGTTCAACTCGTGGATACCTATCAAGAGGTGAAATACGAAAGCAGAACAAGTGTGAAATGGAATGCATTTCTTTTGCAATTTGTGATGTTGAAGCATAATAGTCCAGGCGAGTTTGACACAGTATTCCCAGAAACAGTTATGGAACTAAACGACATCCTTGTCAGAAAATAGGAGCAAATCTTCAAATTCATCAGCGGCGGACAGATAACTGAATGAGATTATGTCCTTCGTATCAGGGTTAGAAACAATTAAATCGGGTTGTGACACCTCATGGGACCTTCCAAATATCACGAAGAGTGAATGCATGTTCTGGGAAGCGATTGTACAGGTAGACGTTTATCTGCGATCTCTAAGGCCTCCTGCGGCATGAAACGTTCAAAGATTACTTAACACCAACATAGATTATCCAACTTTCCTGAGACTCACTGAAATGGACAGAATCCTCGAGATTGTCCAAAATCAAAAGACAGCTATGAATAAACTTGTTGAATGGTTGAATACTGAGTTGACCAAGAAAATAAATGAGAGATTCAAGGGTCTTCAAACCTATTTTCAAATGGTGGAGACCTTCAAATAGGTGAAAGCCAAGGCTGATGTCAACTTTATCAATCAACGTGTTGGCAAGTACAAAAGTGAAATTGGTTCCTTAAGTAAACAGCTCGGCGATAAATTCAACGAAATCTTGAATTTAGCCATAGCAGCAGTTGCCCGCGAGATTGCTGAAGACACAACTCAGGTGTGACTGGCAGCCGCCGTCGTGATCAAGGAACCCCCTAGAAAAGCTTTTTGGAGGCTCAAGTGTGGGAGACTTTATGGACAGATCAGCGAAGTTGGAGAGAAGTTTAACTGAATCGGGTAAAGTAGCCCTGCTGGATAACATAATAAGCATTTCCAGCAGGTTTCAAAACAACATTGGTGTGCTTGAGCAAATATTTTTATTATAGATGCTGGAAATGAAAAGCAGAGTGCTGATTTTGAAACCCATAAACAAAAATTTCTAGCATACTACGCAGCGAAAGATCCAAAATTAGGGAAGCCGGAGTTAACTGGCATAACCAGAACCAGGGAAAATATGATTGATGACGCTTGTGAAGTGATTTTGAGCAAGGAAACTATTCTTGCCCTAAGTATTTTTGCGTATGTAAAAAGCTCCGGTTTGGGTTCAAAAACAAAGGTTCTTGCACGGGAAATGATCGCGACCTGTGAAGAAGTGTGCGACTTTTTATTCGAGCTTCTAGAGGCCATGGCAACTTATATGAGATCTGTGACGTCTCTAAACGCCGCAGCGAGTATTACGGTTGGCTATGAGGAAGGTTCTAGTGAGGATTATTAAGGCGAAAGTGTTGTACAGAGCCTTGAAGTTCCAGCAATGGTCTCTTTTATTTCCTACAAAACCAATCTCTCGCAGATAATTGAATCGTACTGTGACTTACTAGAATACAAAGGAGGTGGATTTCGCCCTAGTATGTGCCAAAGTATAAACACTAACATTGCAAATCTTGTTTCCCACGTATATCTCAAAATCACAGAGATGTAAAGGCTTACTAGAACGTTTCAATCACAATTTTATCGGCAACCAACAGCCTGGACTAATCATTATGCGGGAAAACGTCACACCTTCAAGATACCAAACAGGAGGTGGTTGGTCGATAACCATTTGATAAACGAACGGGAAGAAGGATCTGTTATTTTCGTGAAGAAATTCGGGGTGTTTGTACCAACACAAAATGTAACAGAACGCATGGTGTGGGTTGAGGTGCGAATTTACATCACCTAATGAAAAAAATTACTTCACAGTTCCAGGAAAAAGTTTCGTCGTTGAGTACATGGAGGAAACTGATTCCTGCAGAAAAGAAAGCGAAGCTTTGACAAACCCTTATGGCTCCAATTTACCCAAGCTGTGTGCACTGAATTGTGACGAAAACAACTGTCAGGAGCTTTTGCAAAAGACGGCTTTGTTCGCATCAGTTTATTTGCAATGGCATGTCAGTCCAGTTCCTGATCCAGCAACGGTCGTGAATCTAAAAGTTGGAGTTAAGCTTTGCATCTTATATTCATCAAGGATTTCCATGAAGATTAAGAAGTTAAGAGACAGAGCAAGAAAGAACTCACGGCGTGGAAAGAAGGCCCACTGATGTCGCGCTCTAGAAAGGAGATACAGGTGCATGGACCATGTGTCCTGAAGGTTTAAAATCGATGCTTGATGGCTACTACTGAGGAAAGATTTACCAAAAAATTAATCAACTAACTTGATACTATACTGCACGGGAAAAAAACTGAAACGCTTTCATGATGACATGATAATGGTGTTGCGAGCATGGTAAAATGAAGATGGAGACGATGTCACTAAAAACGGAACATACACTGAACTTCTGCAATTACAACGATAATGAACAAAATGAAGATTAAAAATGAAACCGGATAAAAATTTCACATGTCTGATTACGTAGCACCAAGAGAAAATAATGGGACCTTTATTTTCACTTCTAGCCACTCAGTGGTTCGTTCACGGCTCCCATTTCCCCCTCCACTATCCACGATCGGTATTCTTTCAGGCGATGAAAAAAATTTGCACACACCGAAGTGAACAGCTTAACAATAGAAATCATAGGTTAAAGCAAAAAAAAAAAAAAAAAAAATGTAACAGATGTCATATAGTGTGCTCTCTTGATATTTTGATTAAGACTTGTAATTCCATTGGTGCTCTTTCAAACTTTAATTTAACCGAGAGAAAAGAAAAAAAACTTGCACAAGGAAATCTGACGGAAAGATACATTATCGATTCAATTTATAAACCAAATTATCTTGTAATATTTCCACCCCCGAAAAAAAAAAATTTCCTCAAGGTTTTACCATAGCTGTTTTCACTCCGGAAAATCGTTTCGTGTCACACATTAAAAACTGAAAAACGCTGGCCCGCTTTGTTTTCTGGATAATGAATCAGAATTGTTAAAATATATTCCGTAAAGTTACTTCTGCAATCAGGATTAATAACTGAAAAGCTTTTAGCTCTAAACAGATGCAGATGCATATTTTCCGTGTGCTTCTCCCCAAAATCAATGCAAGAGTAAATGTAATGAGCCTCTGATTAATAACACAAACCCAGCTTAAGATTTTTAGGTAAGATAGTTAGCCAATATTTCTCTGTGAAATCGTTTGTCTCATAAATCTAGAGTTATGAGACTAAAACGAGGTCGACAAGATTTCCGTATAACCTTATACTTCATTATACATACAGTACCTAGATAGTAAGAAAACAATGGAAAAAACACAACATTTATTTAAAGTAGAGTTGAGGTTATTCGGAAATCTTTCCTAGAAGGTCCTTTGACTTTGGCACAAAAGAATATAATTTTGCTGCAAGAGCTGCTGCATTCTGTTGCTAACGGAGTGTGAACATTGTTCTTAAATAACCGACACAAGATTCATTCAGAAGCTCTTTGTAAGCAGCTGTTCTCTCTACCAGTTAAAACTTCCAAACTTCAAAAATGTGAAAATTCGAGCAACGAGATGCTTGTCTTGCTTACAAAGTTTTTTAAATAAGATGCATACAGTTATAGGTCTACATACCTTGTACCTTGCAATAGTGATGATGCAGAGGTAAGTAATCGGGATAGTGAGGCTCGTTGCTGATAAGCGTCCGTTCAAATATGTTTTTCATCAATCTTTCTCTC